AAATTCCAACGATAAAAAAAAATTACGTTTTTTCATTTAAATTCATAAAATTTCACGCCCGAAGGGAAAATTGTGTTTATATTATCTGCTAGAAATTGTACAACAGAGAGAACAACTCGTGCACATACTCCCACGGAGCTATCGTCGCGCTAATAACACGTCGTAAATGAACAATATTATTATTTATATTATTTGTATTAGTAGTAAAATCAGTCAACTTGAACATAAAGCACTTACGATTGGGATTGTAACAGTGCTATTGTAATTTATATATACATATACATATACGTGAATTGGAAGGTAGTCACGTATTGTGTTCGCACTGTTCACATAGCTAAATATGGCATCATCGATGAGTACATTCTGGTTTAGAATGGAATGTTAATATCATATAAATATACACGTTAAAGAACTTCTTCCTTGATTCCACATGAATGGTCTCACAATAAAGTAGTTCAAATGTCGTGGGCGTCGCTCGATATAATAAAGTGACAATAAGAGAATGTCATGTGCACTGTCAGCTCAGTTTCAATGTCAGTTCATTGTTCTTTATTCTGAATTATTTCTGTATATAGATACGACAAGAAATGTGAAGGACATAGACGAGAAATGTCAAAAGACAGTTCGCTTGATGTGTGAGTTAAAGGTCCTTCGATAGTTATTAGTTACCAATGAATGAACTTGAATCATGTAATGAATGACCTTTACTCTACGTCATCAAACATTCACTCGACTCTATCAGGGGAAGATATATTGACATACGAATAGGTCATGTGACTGTCCAATATCAATATATACATTCTATATTGTGATTACTTTATTTTGTTTCAGACTTCATGAAACATAAAACGAAATAAACGAACGATAACGGTATTTGTTCACCCTGAGAATCCATACCCCGATGTAAACAGGAAAATCGTTAACATTGAAACCTACATACCAATGTCCATGTGCATGTGGATCGACGGTGTGAACATAACGAATTTCTATTTATTGACTGTGATCTCGTATATTTTGAATAACCTAACCAGTGATTAAGCAAGGAATAACTGGCCTGGCCAGTTATTTTCACAGCAGCTCAAAGGTTATATATATTCATGTAATTTCCACAATGACAAATATGTCTACGTGTATGGAAAGACGTTTTTACTAGAGCATGTATATAGGATTGAAGGAAAGACATAATTATACCAACTATATCAAACAGCCCTTCTTGAAAGTCCAAAATACTGGCGTCTCAGTCTGGGCATACAGTACGGAATTAAGTAATTTCTTAATTATAGTAATTCTATTTTTAATTTATATATATTATTTAGTAACGTGGCCGTGTCTTAGTATTTCGAATAGGGTTCGTATGTGTGTTTATTTATTTCAAAGCCAAGGTTTTGTTTTCTAAATACAAATATGTATGCGTATAATAGGATATTTTTAATAATCATACCTTAATACGATTCAATAATCCATCTACTTCATCAACATCGTTGTGAATTGCAATCAACACGTTATTATATCCGTTGTTTTCTAGTACAACGTTACTCGCACTATTCGCCAGGAAAGGCACAGTCCAGATGGTAAGTAAAAATCTGCAGCCAATTCGATGCATGGTGAATTGCCCTGTATTCTGATCAGCGGGTAAATCAGACCGAGGTGCGAGTTATAGTTGAAGAAGAAATTAGCTTAAAAAGAATCAGATTGGTGCCTGAAATATTTGCTCATACATACGGAACTCGTAAAAACAGAGATGCAATAGCAATATGCAAAGGTATTAGTGGGCGTGCCTTTTCAAAACTGAAGGGCACCATTCACACCATCACAAAGAACGATATGTAGCATTGTGTCTTAGGAACGCAACTTATACACTACGTTAAGTTCAGAAAATACCAAAAATATGAATGAAATGAATGAATTAGATATATGTCAACAAGACAACAACTGTATATATATATATATGGTTTGTAATCTTCATGGAGTATGATGCGTTCAGCCTTTGTTAAAGGCAGTAACATGTACGACTGTTTACACATTCCTAACAGTTAGATACGCCACCCATTGACATGCGAACAATGTACTCTATAGCACAATAGAATCTGTCTATTATGTGTCAATTACTCAAGGATTAAATAATTAATAAACAACAAAGTTACTTACAAGTAGTATGCGTCTTATACAGTGCAGGGCATACAGCTCTGGTCATTCTAAACGTGTTATAAATATACATTTTTATAAATTGATGTTACAGTGAAAGACACAGTTGGAGCTTTGCTTATTGTAGACCGTGTAGACGGACCCTGTGTTTTCTATTATTAAGTTTTCTTTGGACGATTCTCTTCGACCGTGCGTGGAGTGATTCGGCTGAAAGTCATACTGGAATATATATTCACGTCGATTTGTTTTTCGTTTCATTGATGCTTGACTAACTCGCGATCATTTTTGTCCTTCAAAACAAAATGTCCGACTCGTGGTCATTTTGTTTTTCTCGTTTTCTTGACGCCATTTCTCTGAGACAGTTTAATTGATTCATTTAAAATTGGGTACTAAGACAAAAAATAACATTTTACAAATTCAAGTTTGTGGGTTAGATACGTCTTTGTTAGTATGACTGTTTATCCATATGTTCGTGAAAGCGATTCGTATTTTGTTTCACACACACACACAAACAGATACCCGTGCATTACAAATCTGATATGATACTTTAAAAAGGTACGAATATAAAAGCAACATTTCCTACCGACATTCTCATCTTGCATCGTCGCAACATTGTTTAGTGACACAGAAGGATACATACCATGCGTGGATAGCTATTAAATAACATCCTATGAGTATAAGAGTGAATTGTCACCGGAATGTCTCGAGTTTTATTATACAATATCCTCATATAAATGTGTAGTTATGTCTCGTTCTTTATTATTAATCTGACTGGGGTATGTTGTAAATTGTTTCTTAAAGAGATTGTAGCTTAGATGAGTTGACACTACACTACTATTTTGGTTGAAAGTGACTGAAAATGATGTGACAGACTATCTATTGTTAGATGTTACTAGTGACAGTATATAGATATTAAGAGGGGAGGTCAAAGGTCATAGCACTGATA